TACATCCCAATAACATTCAAGGAGACCAGTTTAGAATAGGCCTCCTCTCTTAGCAGCCTTAACTTATCGTAAGATTGCTGAAGGTCTATATTAGAAAATGAACAAAGTCAGGTAAGACCGGCGGATACCGATGCCTCGATCGTAAAGAGCTTTGAAGCTTCATGCAGCACGCCGTTTGTGTGACGTCGTACCTTAAATTACCTTGGTCCGAACTTCAGCCGAGCGGAGTGTGGGCCTGGAGCTATGGAGCTGTCTGGCTGTGGACAGCTGCCAACCTTGGAATTGCAAGTGCGAGGCTGCCTGAGGCATAAAGCAGCTCCTCCAATTGGCTCCACCACAATCATACGACGGGCAATCGAAAAAAAGACTCTCCCGTCTTCAATTGAACTCGACGACCGCAAATCACCGATCCGAAACCCAACTATAAACAACAATTGTCGTCAGCGAAATCCCGCCCGCGATCCTCAGTTCCACGTCCAGCAGGCCTCAATTGGCTCCAAATCTCCACTCCTCCGACCGATTTGCACAGCGTCTATCTGAATAATCGTTTATTTCTCTCTTCCTCGTTTCTACTCCGTTCAGCTAAATCACAATGATGCGCACATCCCTCCTTCGCGCTGGCCTCAGAGCCAGCAGGACAGCCACTATGGTCCCCCGCGCTGCCGCCTCTACGCACGCCATCTCGAAACCGACGCTGGCCAACATCGAGAAGCGATGGGAGGGCATGCCACAAACCGAGCAGGCCGAGCTGTGGATGTCCCTGCGAGATCGCATGAAGGAGAACTGGGACGAGCTTACGTTCCAAGAGAAGAAGGCCGGTATGTAATATTCGTGGTGTTCAGACCCGGTGCTATCGGGTCTCGAGCTACATTTCCAGACACATTTGCTTGCTCTAAAGCTCTCGAGATTGGGGATTGATCTTGCGATGACGGCCCCTTGAAGCAAGAGTGGATCCCTAGTGCTTGATCTGGCCATTCACGAATCGCGCATTTGAAGAACATCACGACTAACGTCTGTCTACAGCATACTGGATTGCTTTCGGTCCTCACGGTCCCCGTGCCCAACCTGCTGCCGGTGAGGGACGCAAGGTCGCTCTGTACACCGCTCTAGGTGTATTCGCTAGTTTCGCTCTCTTCGCCACAATGCGGTCGTTCGCTGGCCCAGCACCAAGCACCATGACCAGAGAATACCAGGAAGCCTCCAACGAATTCCTCAAGGTAAGAAGTCCTCTTCGTGTCCCTCTGCCCATTTCTGAGGAGTGGTCCTTTTGCTAACAATAAAAATAGGGCCAACGTGCCGAGCCTCTCACCGGTGTCTCGTCCGAAGGTTACAGCGGTAAGGGCATGGTCCAGTCGCCACCCAAGAACTAGACCTCGCCCGCCACCTAATTCCAGAACCACTCTTGTCATCTCCCTCTTTCTTTTGTCGCTAGAAGAACGAACCGCAGTGCAAGGCATCAGATCCACATGTACAAGACGAAAAAGCAAAGCAGCAGACTAGAGTGGAATAGAGTAGTGGAGCTTGTTTAATCTTTCTCGACGGGCAAAAAGACGAGTTTGGCTATCTGAAACGAAGTCCCCTTCGTCGAAAGACTTGGAGCCGGAGCCGCATGCACATCCAAAGGAGCCCTTACCTTTTTTAGTTCCGACTGGGACCGGGATTTCAGTCCCTGTTGGCAGCAGCTCGTGCCGGGATGATGATAACGCCTGGCGTTGTAAATATGTATAAGAGGAAACAACCCTATGCCGTTCTGAAAGCTCATCGTCATACCAAGTGATTGAGTGCATAGGTACTGTTTGATTTATCCCATCTTTGCCACCATTTATGTTACATCAAACCACTAGCATGATGAAGCTTAAGTATTAAGCATGCTTTGATTAGATCCCACTGTTGATAGTACATCTGAATATCAGCGTTTAACATAAATCTCATAGAATCTTGTAATGGGATATGACAGGTGTTAATGAACAATCCTCTCATGGAGTCCTAGTTTTCAATATACGGCCTAAATTCAATATTATGTACGCAGAGAGCAGATCCGGAGCAGAAAGCAATATTCCAATGAAGATCAGTTTGAGAAAGACCTCTATAGAACAGATCTCATCCTTGACAACCCTTTCCCATACGTAAAGCATGTAAAGTTATATGATTAATCATGTCACACATACATGGTAATGTACAGTTCGGTGGTATGTTCTGTTCTCAACTCAGCACTTAAAAGGGCCCAATATGAGCCACACGTATATGATATCCGTCCATGTAGATCATAAAGAGGTGGCCAAGATATATATGGATATATATAAGTATGTGTGTGTGTGTTTTGCTAAGTAGCCTCTACGTATATAGCGGCCTTATTCCATCAAGTATCTCAGCTCCATCGTCCTAACTATCCCACCAGCGCCAAACCAGACCATATAAAGGTGATGATCATGCTCGAAATACCCAAACCGAGAAAACCGGCAACTCCATGCAAAATTCCCAACCCAACTCGTCTCGACGTATTCACAGGCCCTATCACTAGGTCCCCAATATGATTTCGAGCCCCCTCAGGCACCGCTCTGCCCAGCCTCCCTATACTCACCCAAATTACTCACGATCTCCCTGCCGTGGTTCTCCTGCCCGGGCACTTCCACCAGCCCATCCTCCTCGCGGATCAGCTTCTTAACCTCTAATCTCCCATCCTTGCCCCAGTACCCGACTTTCTCCTCGCCGCGCACCGCCCTCTCAGTGACGAGCACATAGTGCGTGGGCGCGTCGAACATGGCCTCGGCCAACACCCGCTCCATCTCCATCTTCAGTCCCCTTGCCCCGGTTTGCGCCTTTTCGGCGCGCTCCGCGATGGCCTGCAAGGCCTTTTGCGTGAAGAACAGGTTAGAAGGGTAGGTCTGGAACAGCGCCGTATATTGCGCTACTAACGAGTTGCGCGGCTCCGTTAGGATCCTGAGTAAATCTGACAGCGAGAGCGGCGACAACGCAACAATGTTGTGCACACGTCCGATCAGTTCCGGTATGAAGCCAAATCGCTGGAGGTCTTCGGGCGTCGCGAGGTCTAGTGCCGTAAGCGTCTTAGCGTCCTCTGCGTTCGGCGGTCGGTGAGGCAGGTGGTTGAATAGCTCGGGCGGGAGGTCTGGTTTATTCCCTGACGCAGATCGGCTACGGAGCTCAGACCCGAACCCCATCGTGGACTTGGATACGCGATTCAGGACCACCTTGTCGAGGCCGACGAACGCGCCGCACATGACGAATAGTATGCTGCTAGTGTCGATTGTGTACTGGTCCAACTTCCCCGATGGAGGGAGCGTGGACTGTGGTCCCGAAGTAGAGGTCGAGGAACCCGGGCCGGTGTAACTTGTAGTAATGGGACTTGCCGAGCGAGACGAGGAGCGATTATCCTTAACGTTTATAGTGACCTTAGTTCCCTCGACTAGTTTTAGCAATGCTTGTTGTACGCCTTCGCCGCCGACGTCTCTTCCATTCGCCGTCTCACGTCTGGCAATCTTGTCAAATTCGTCAAGGACGACTATCCCCTGCTCGGTAGCCCTCACGTCGTAATTAGATTCTATGAGCAATCGTTCGACACACGTCTCGACATCCTGGCCTATGTAACCAGCTTGGGTGAAGGAGTTGCAATCGCATATCGTGAAGGGGACGTTGATCTTCTTGCTAAGTGTCCTGCAACGGGTATATTTTAGCGACAGGGCGCACGTATATGCCCATTTTAAGTAGACACCTACTCGAGTATATACGTTTTACCAACACCAGTCGGGCCTAATAACAGCAGGTTGCTCTTGTCTATCTTAACTGGAAGTGCCCGACTAGCGTCCTCGGGTATGTAGAAGTCGACCTTCTCCTCGGTGCGTTGCCAGGCCTGATTCATATTAAGTATAGAGTCATTGTGACCGGGAAACTCGTCTTCGAAATCAACGTCGTCAGCGCGATATCGGTGAAACTTAGGTGTCGGGTGGTGCCAACCTTCAACAGGGTGATAGGGTTCCCTTTCTCTCGCGTTTCGATCGCGAGCGATAGCTTGCCGCATGAGCTTCTCTTCCCGTTTCCGTTCCTGGACCTCTTGATGTTCGCGCCGCCTTACGTTCTGGTAATGGTTAAATATTACGGAAGATATCGTCTTCTTCGCCCGGTCTTGCCCGACTACGTATTCGTCGACTCGCTTCTTGAGGTCTCTAGGGTAGAACTGAGGGACCCCGAATGTGTTCTTAGAGAACATGGGGCCTCGCCCTTCTTCGCTGGGATCATAGCTGCTCGTGAAGCCCGAGTTGAAGTCTAAGGTACGTCTCGAGGCGGTGCGGAGAACGGTAGAAGTAGACAGGGATCGGCCATGGCTCCGTCTCGCGAGGACCGACCTCATGTTGGTAGCTTAGCGTTCTTTAAGGCGGCCCTCCAGTCGATAGCGAGCAGCTACTTGGAGAAGTATGACACCGCAGTCTGCTGCATGAGTGCGTAGAACAGAGGCGAGCGATTTGCCTACCACGGAAAGGTGTATTGTTGTATCGTATCCTAAGCCAATTGGACAAAGAGAAGGAGAAGTTACTAGAAGGAAGCCGGTTTAAGAATTGGAGATTTCTTCAATTAATTTGATTTGTTATTAGTTGAGTCGAGGTATGGTCAACATTGAATGTGGTAGATGTGAATACTCCTGTATCGGACAAGTCACATAACTTGCGCAAGATCTCGCAGCCTCTCCATTCAACAACCTTTCTGGAAGTTCGGGGTCTCACTCCATGCGGGGATAAGTGCCACAACAAGTGGGCAGGGTCATACCTAGTATGATGCCGTAAGTCATCCCTGTCGGCCTATAAAGAGTGACGTTCCAGTTAGTGCGCCCGCTCCAAAGAGTGGGGCATCATCAAGCAGCTAAGCTGTTCACATGAATGATCCCATCCAACAGTGGATGTCCATGACTTAAGTCGGTAAAACTGCGGTATTAGAGAAGCAAAATGAGGTATGAGGCAGATATTTTTATATTTTTTCCACTGGAACAAGTCTTCGTGGCTCAGTTGGCTAGAGCGTTGGTCTCATATTCGTATGATTCAACCCCCCAGGGTTGGGATATCCAAAGGTCGTGAGTTCGAGCCTCACCGAGGACAAATAGTTTTGTCTCGTCACTCTGTGTCTATTAAGACATTGTGTCCTTTTTTGTGTTGTTTATCTCAAGTATTCTTTTGGGCGGAGGATGTGCTTTGTACGATATGGGAGCCACGAAGGTCAAGGGAAGTCAGTGTTTAAGCTTAAGTAATGCCCCGCAGACTAGAGATTTCAACCATACTTGAACTATTTCTTCATAAGTCATAAGTCTTATAGAATATACTTCACAAATTGTAAGATGTTATTGAGACAATTTCTTCATTCCGAAATGAGATATACTTTCCCATTATTATGTTATTTCACATCGAAAATCGTAATACCAAGGTCACAAAGCTCGAGGTTCTAGACAGCTGATCGGCCAAACGGGATGATCCACTACTACGGTGCTACTGCAGCTCAGGTTGCCCCTCGACGTCATTTAACATGATTTCTTTGGGCTGGAGCTTCTTCTCCTCATCCAGTAACAATTACATTATGAGAAGAAGATGGGCTGGAACAGGATACGAGAAACATGACTTGACACATTCAATTTACTTTCTTCATCTGTAGAGAGAGAAATAAAATAACGAATCGTTCGATTGACGCCCAAAAGACACCCTTGCGACTTTGCTCTTATCAAGCATAGCTCCCTTCATAGCTCTTGTTTATAGCGGGGGAGCTCGACTGTGACATTGACCTAGCAATTTCACACCTAACAACAACAATAACATTCCTCCCCTTCTCAACCCTCAAGCAGCAGTCAGTCAACATGACCGCCGTTGCTGATAATTCTGCGAATACCCTCGGCTCTGGCGCCGCCCCGGGAATCCCAAACGACGGCACTGGTGCGAAGCGACTTCTCTCTGATCCTATTCTAGCTCTAGCTCTAGCTCTTGCGCGGGATTGTTAGTTAACGGAGTCTTTCATAGGTGTCACTCAGCTGGATCCTTGGCTGTCCCCGTTCCAGGACTCCCTAAAGCGAAGATATACGAAGGCTCAAGAATGGATTAAGAAAATTGACGACACCGAGGGTGGCCTTAAGAAATTCTCAAAAGTTCGTCGACCATCACCACCTCAAGCCACTTTCAAGAACCTAACCTAACATGCACTGCTCGTCTGAACCTAGGGCACTGAGATCTTCGGTCTGAATGTCGACAAGGACAACAATATCATATACCGAGAATGGGCTCCAAATGCCACCGAGGCTTTCTTAATCGGAGACTTCAGTGAGCACTGGTTGTCTCGTGTCACATCACAACCACCACGCTAACCAGACGTTATCAGATGAATGGAATAGGGGCTCCCACCCCATGAAGAAGAGTGAATTTGGAGTGTGGGAAATTGTCGTTCCCGCGAAAGACGGGCAGCCAGCCATCCCACACAAGTCCAAGATCAAGGTACACAACCCAGCTCAAGCCAGGTAACCTTGAACTTACTAAGGCTTTAACAGATCTCGATGACAACACCGTCCGGCGAACGAATCGATCGTCTTCCAGCTTGGATCAAATATGTTACCCAAGATCTCTCCGTCTCACCCGCCTATGACGCCCGTTTCTGGAACCCCCCCGAGTCTGAGAAGTATGTGTTCAAAAATGCGAGACCCAAGAAGCCATTGAGCGCTCGAGTCTACGAAGCGCATGTCGGTATCTCATCACCTGAGTTACGAGTCACGACTTTCAAGGAGTTCACCAAGGACATGCTGCCGAGAATAAAGGGCTTGGGATACAACGTCATCCAGCTCATGGCCGTAATGGAGCATGCCTATTATGCCAGTTTCGGCTACCAAGTGAACAACTTCTTTGCCGCTAGCAGTCGGTACGGTACACCCGAGGACCTCAAGGAGCTGATCGACACCGCCCACGGTTTGGGGTTGGTTGTTCTTCTCGACGTCGTCCACAGCCACGCTTCCAAGAATGTGCTGGACGGCCTAAACGAGTTCGATGGCTCCGATCACCTTTACTTCCATGGAGGCGGAAAGGGTAGACATGAACTATGGGATTCTAGACTTTTCAACTATGGAAGCCATGAGGTTATGCGGTTCTTACTTAGCAATTTGAGATTCTGGATGGATGAGTATCAATTCGATGGTTTTCGCTTCGATGGAGTGACCAGCATGCTCTACACTCATCACGGCATTGGAACGTGAGTTTACTTCTAAGCGCCTCTCATAATGTCTCGATTAACAATCAATGTGTAGGGGTTTCTCCGGTGGGTATCATGAGTACTTCGGGCCAGACGTGGACGAAGAGGCCGTGGTCTACCTGATGGTCGCGAATGAGATGCTTCATGACTTATACCCGGAAACCATCACCGTTGCTGAAGACGTATCTGGCATGCCTGCCCTCTGCTTACCACTGTCACTTGGTGGTGTAGGGTTTGATTACCGATTAGCCATGGCTATCCCTGATATGTGGATCAAGCTCCTCAAGGAGAAGAAAGACGAGGAATGGGACTTGTCCAACATCTGCTGGACTCTCACCAACAGGCGCCACGGCGAGAAGACGATCGCTTACTGCGAGAGCCACGATCAAGCGTAAGTTAAAGTGACTAGACCTGAATCCTCATACTAACTCCTCACATTTAGTCTCGTAGGCGATAAGACCCTCCTCATGCACCTTTGTGACGCCGAGCTATACACCAACATGTCGGTGTTGTCACCATTGACTCCCGTTATCTCCCGGGGCATGGCGCTGCACAAGATGATCCGGCTCCTAACGCACGGGCTCGGCGGCGAGGGCTACCTCAACTTCGAGGGCAACGAGTTCGGGCACCCGGAATGGCTGGACTTCCCGCGCGAGGGCAACCAGAACTCGTTCTGGTACGCGCGGCGCCAGCTCAACCTGACGAGCGACCCGCTGCTGCGGTACAAGGACCTCAACGAGTTCGACCGGCAGATGAACCTGACGGAAGACCACTACGGCTGGCTGCACGCGTCGCAGGCCTACATCAGCCTCAAGAACGAGAGCGACAAGGTCGTCGTCTTCGAGCGCGGCGGCTGCGTCTTCATCTTCAACTTCCACCCCACCGAGAGCTTTGCTGATTATAGGATCGGCGTCGACGGCGCCGGCACCTACAAGGTCGTGCTTGACACTGACACGAAAGAGGTCGGCGGCTTCGGCCGCGTTGATCCTAACGCTAGGTTCTTTACTACTCCCATGGAGTGGAACGGCAGGAAGAATTGGACTCATGTGTATATCCCTAGCCGCACTGCTCTGGTAAGTTACTCACGGAAATTTTTTTTAATTATGAAGGGAGGGTCGATGCTAATACGATAACAGGTTCTCGCGCCCGAGCGCTCTTGAGCAGATGAGGACCTGACACAGTGAGGTGGCGGGTTTGGGGATGTCGAGAAAGGGAACAGCTTAGTATGAATTGCTTGCGATATCTGATATCAGGCGTGGTTGTTTGGAAGAATGTCGAATGAAATAGCAAGTTTAGCGCGGTGTAGAATGCGTTATGATACGTGGGTGTGTCAACGGCAACATGCTATCGTAGGGGATGGATGCTCTTTTTATATTCTCAAAATTCTTTCCCATCTCATACATCATATCCCATAGATCAATACCTATTATTATTGGACGGACCTTTCTATCTAGTCCTAGGGGTATATATCGTCTCGTGTATAGAAAAATGAGGTATGTATCTGCATATTATACCCCTTTCTATCTCCTTTCCTAAGTCTTTCTCTTCTCAGCTCCCCTCTACTCAACAAGCCACTCCTCAACCTCAACCCCCATACTCCGCCCCACGCCCCGAATAACCTCCCACCCAACACCCACCCTCCACTTACCCCCACGATCCATCGTATCGCCCGCACCTCCGACCCCTCCGACGCGCACCAGCAAGCGCAAGCTCGCCAGCGTCGCGACCGCCATACCCACATCGCCGTCCACGGCCCCCTGGTCCGCGCCGGTGTCGCCGGGAACCCACTCGCGCCGCGTGGCCGCGTATATCGCGACCATGCGCTCGAACACAAAAGCGCCGGGGCCGAGCAGCTTGCGCGCGATCTTCCTGTGTTTCGACTTTTTGGAGAAGCGTTGCCGGACACCAGCGCCGCCGCGACGCCGCCGCCCCGAGTGCCACGTGCTGAAGATGGTCTGGTCGTGGCGCGGCGCGTTGTGCGAGGCTAGGTACGCGGCTATCAGGAGGAGGCGGGCGGTCGGTGGGAGCAGGGCTGCTAGGTCTTTGCTGTTCTTCGGTTCGCTTGTCTTCTTGGCCTTGGGGTCTGTTGGTCCGGGGAGGGTGGACTTCGATATGGAGGTCGTGGTGGAAAGGGCTATGCCGGGTACGAGAACCCCTTCGTCTTGGAAGTATGCCCGCGCGGAGACGAGCAGCTTGGTGAATTCGCGCGCGCGGTGCGTGCCTGCGGCTACGGGCGCTGTGAATCGTGGCCAGAGGGCGGTACAAGCGCGTGCGAGCCCGGGGAGTGTGCGAGACGCGGGTTTAGCTAGCGCGTCGTGGACCGCGGCTGCGAAGCGCGCCCATAGATCTGCTGTTTCTTGGGGTGTTGTGTTCGGGAGCGGGGACGGGGTGTAGGGAGGGCGCGAGAGGATCGCTATATACTCGGTTTTCGTGTACGGCGGGAAGTAAAGCTGGGGGGTCAAGGATACGCGCAGTAAGGAGGGCGAGGGAGAGGTGAGGATGAAGAGGGTTGTTAGGTTGGGAATCTAAACCGTGTTAGGTGTTAGTTTCTCTGTTTACTGTGCTTAGAAGGATTAATGTAAAAGACATACAATTTCGGAGAGTCTAGCGAGGGCAGGTAGCAATGTAGCCGGCGCCTCTCGCTGGTGATCAATGCCGTCAAACACCAGCACGAACCTCCGGTCTGTATTGTCAGGCTGGACGTCATTTTTCAGCATCCGGGCCAGCTCGACTGTGAGCGCTGCTAGCGTTTCGCACCGCCCGACCGCTCCTCTCCCCTCCCATTGTAGGGCGTCGGCAACTGAACCCACAGTCCGCTCGAACAGATGTCGAGCTGTCACACACTCGGCGGACTTAACAATGGCATAGTTCAGGAGGCCGC